GTTTTGATATTGAAAAGATTAATGTTGATACAGCATTTTGAATTTGTTGTCCTTAGCTGCCTGTTATTATATTTCCATTAGTATCTTGTTTAACAGTCTGGCATAGTTTGGTATCAGAGCCACTCTCGGTTCAAGAGGTATTTATCTGGTCTGAAACTTTTTGATTTCAATCTTCTTTTCTGAGTTCTGGTTTTAAAGAGTCTGCATGCATATTGTGTTGATCCCTGCTGAGTCTTTGAGAAACAATCCGTTAGAAGCCTAGGGTTGACGTTGTTAGGACACATTTCTCCCCATATGCAGTATCACCACAGTTCATCACACTCATAGAAACCCCCCATGTAAGAGAAGAAAATTTGAAATTCAAAATGTTTCCATTCTTGATAAACACCTCCTGTTCTAGCTCTGGTTCTAGTATTCAAAACCCAGAAATCAATGAAGAAAATGTTCATTATGAAAATATAATTCAAGAAATAGACAACTGGGAAATACCTAGAGTTCCCTAAAGTCAAATCTACAAAACATCAACATTCCATTCTTTACATCTAAATTCTTTTTGCGGATACCTTAAAGAGAAAGGAATCCCAATACAAAATCAGTATGAAAACATCCCATTGTTAGATCAAGAAACTATAAATAAATTAAAAACTCAAAACTATAATTACATCCATTTCGAATTAATTCAAGTAGGAGCAAAACCTTTAACCAAATAAGGGTTAGACAGCTCAATATTTATTATTTTAAGAGATAAAAGACATCTCTAATTTAATGATTCCTTACTGGGAACAATAGAAACAAGTCTGTGTAGAGGACCAATACATTTCAACTACTTTCCAAACTTCATGGTTTCTTTAAAAGACAGAAACATATTAAATTCCTTAACACTTCAAATACAAACTCATAATTATAAAATGATGCCTGGATCTGAACCTTTAACTGTTGTTTACAGATTATATTACAAAGCAATGTATTCTGTAATAAACACTAAAGCTTTAATCCACAGTCCAAAAGGAGAAATATTATTAATCCAAACAGATATGACTAGGTCACATACTGTTATTCCTAGGACAATACAATGGCATGAAGTACAACTTCCAAATAGATGAAAAATAGGAGCAACAAATCCAACCCCCATACAAAACACGAAAATAAATCATGTGGCACAATTTAGAGATGGTTCAGTAGAACTTGTCTTTAACAGACCACCAAGAGTTCCATCAAGAAGATCTTTTGAAATATCAAATGTAGGATCACCTTCAAATATAAGAACAAACTTCAAGACAGCCAGAGCCTCTGTATCCTCACTCCCTACAATTACAACAAACTTACAATCTGTAAATAATTCTCCAAACATACCCCAACCTGTTTATAACAGACAAGAAATTACCCCTTTAAATTCCTCAAATATGTCTCCAACATATTCATCAATGATAAATAATCCCAATATAAATCAAAACCAAGAAAATGATTTAGAAATATTTGTCTTAGAAAGAGATTTTGAAATCAACAAAGATTGGTGTAGAAAACAGTTTACTTCAGAAAAAAATAAACAAAAAAGAAAAAATTATTTCAAAACTTACGACTCACAGAAAGATAAAATACTACAAAATTACTACAAATTCATAGAAAAACATAAAATACTAATAGACTTCTTTGAACAAATTCATGGAAAAACATAAAATACTAATAGACTTCTTTGAATGGTTCAAAGAATATCAAGAACCACAACGAAATACCTTAAGCACTACAAAAAAATGGCAAACGAATAAAGGCGAAATAGAATCAAATCATCCCCCATTAACAGAAATACAATATTCTCATAAAAACATAGGGATACGGGCAACTCCACTAAGAATGAGATTATCTGACTTAGGAGAGCCTATCACCTCAAAAGATGTTAAAAATGATAATAGAGCAAAATAACTTTACAAACCTAAATCTACATTCCATATCAGAACAATTAGATACAATTGAAACAAAACTTCAAAACCCAACAAATATTCAACAACCATATGATTCTTTAAATCAACAAAGAGAAATAAAACCTACTTTTATACCCTTTGAAATTCCCAATAAATATCAACAAACAAAAAATCAATTTCTACATGAAATAGAAAACAGACTTGAAACTTTAGAAAGTCAATATTCAGAAATCAGAGTAGAAGATACCCCCCAAAGACATCCAAATTCACACATTAATATCATAAAAGAAGAAACTGATTCATCAATAGAAAGCTCGCAAAGCCAACAGATAAATAAAATGATTTGGAAAGAACCTCAAAAAATATACTACCTAAAAATGATAGCCCCTGACATAAACATAGAAGAGAAACCCTCTTTTCAAAATAAATATAATGCAAATACAATATATGAATGGAACATAGATGAAATGTCAGAATATAACATTCTCAATATACTTCAACAAATGACAATGGTCTCTAATGTATACAAAACTCAAAACCAAACTGGTTAAATCACGGACCATGCAATAGCATACATGTTAGTTGCTGGTTTTACAGGACAACTTAAAGGATGGTGGGATAATTATCTCTCCACAAATGATTTATATTTATTGCTAATATGTTAAAAGCCAAATGGGTTACACACATTAAGCGACATGATTGAGATTATATAAGGATAATTAATTAATTTGAACTTAATTGAAAAAGATCAAAATAAAGTGAGAAATTAATTAAGTTTACAGAGACTTAATTAAATTAAAATACAACTGTTGTATTTAGAGTTATCAATTAGTTTGACTCTATAAATATATCATGTTAGTAAACTAAAACTTTAAGCGTGCAGCCACTTCTCAACCGCTTCATAAAATAAGGAAAGAAAAATAGTTTTCTTTGTTTTACAGAAATAAGATTCAGTATCAATTTTTGGTCCTTTTGTTTTAAAAACAAAACTTGCTAGCATAAGTAAAATCTTACCTTTACGAAGGTTTTATTTAGTCATTGTGTGGATTACTGTTAGAGGCCAAACACTTAAGTGGTTGAAGATTTGACAAATCCTAAAGGTGAAGAAGTAAAGATTTTGATTTAATTGGTTCTTCATTGCGATATCTAGAATAAGATATGTAACTCTTAAACTTATGAGTGTTCATAATTAATTCAAAAGTTACATAAAAAACATAAATATTAATCTTATAGGATTTGATTGTTTCTCTTATTAAATACTAATTTATATTTTCACTGCATTATATTTTTTAATTTCTTGATTATTTTTATGTTTGAGCATGAGATCGAATCCCAGCAAGTTCGACTTCTGAGGATCTGAACACCTCGATGTAGGTTAAGGGATTGTAACTAATCTTTTTTATTTGAATTAAATTTATCTTTTTCAATGAGATATTTTATATATATAATAAAGGAAAAAAATTTATCAATCTTGAAAATAACAACATCAGGACTTTTGGGGGCAAAAATTGTATGGCATCCTTTTCTCAAAGCGACTCCCTATCAAGATTGACAAGCACTCAATAGTGAGAAGGTGATAAGCATGGTGCAAATGTTAAACACATGTAAACTCAACAACATGCATAGTTCCAAATATGTAATTGAATTCATTGTTTGAGCATTGATTCTCGTTTTAATTTAAAAAAAAAAATTATGTACAGCAATTGGTTACTTTCTCATTTTTCCCAAAGTCTGAAAATGAGAGATGTTGATTCCATTTGTTCACGTTGTCCACTCCTTGGAAATTTCCCAATCACCAGTGGGAAAACATTGACATCATTACACTTTTCTTTTTCCCTTTTTTTCTAAAAAAGAAATTTAAAGATAATATTAATACTATACCCAATAATATCTTGTCTCAATAACGAGAAAAAATTTTTGAACATTTAAGCTATAAGTTCAAATCTCAACTTAGATAAATTTAGTTTTGTTTGACCATTATTTATTTAGTTTATTAATAGTTTCTTCTTGGACATAATAATTATATCAAACTTGTAACCAAATACAGTTTGATTTGTGTGTCTATATCTAGTTTCTTTTAGATGATTACACACTTTACCTCTACATAGATAGTTTAATCCAATTTGCTAATCCTCCAACTTCACTATACATCATTATTGTTATTAACTTAATTTACCAAAAACTACTAAAGAAATGTTCTTACTTAATGCAAATAAAGGTGCTTCACATTGTTATTTTAGCCGTTATTTCAACAACATATTATTTTCCTTCAGGAAAATAAAGGAAGTATCCAATAATAGCATTGGCGTTTGCGAAAAGAACCTACTATTTCGTGATTGCATTAAAAACAATTACATATTTTTCAAAGGAAAAAGCAGTCTGAATATGCTATGTAATCTACTGCCAAAGTTTTGGCTCACGTCACACAATTGTGGTCCATTCTCGTACGTAGATGCAGATATCTTAAGATGATTATTTTCTTTTTAAAAAGTTAACTTAATAAAATATACAGCGTTCACATTTATAATTTTTTAAAAGTTTTTTACTTATTTAATGTGAAATTAAAAAATCTTATTTATTTTGTTCGAAAAGTTTGACCTGACACAGACCCTCATGGTTGACCTCAATTCAATATTCCGAGAAATCCAAATGTCTTAAAAATAGATACAAGGAAACAAATTAAGAAGTTTGAGAGGAAACTGTGCGTGGTTTGTTTGTCTGTGTTTTGCTAACTTGAAGGATAATTTGATTTGACCTGCTCGCTGCTCATCTCATTTGAACACATCAAGCCACGCGGCGCCTGCTCCAATTTCAAACCCTATTGCTGCAACTTACCAACTCGTTTGAATGCGTCAATTTGGCGGTCCAAAACCTACTGCTACAGGCCATGGCTTTGGACCGAGGTCTTTGAGCTTCTGCATTCACATTTCTAGCCTTGCTTTGAGGATCATACTTTCGCCAAATGTCCCCTGGCATGGGAAATGAATGTTTTTGCTAAGAATTCATGTTGAATCCGTGTCTGAAACCCCAAATTGGTTTCCCAAAGCAGAAAGAGCAGAAGGGAAAAGATAGCAGAAATTCTAAAAGACAAACAAATATCTGGTAATCATTTTCTGAGTTTGTACAACAAATCGAAAGCCCTTACAATCCGAGCAGTTGGTCTTTGCTTGGATTTTTTAAAGAATAAAGAATTTGGTATCCAAAATTTAAAATGATCTCTTGAGGCTCTTGAAATCTACAGAGTCGATGCACTCCAATCCAGCTCTGTAAGGATTCAAGAGCTTCAAAAGCTCAGTTGCTTTCTCTTTTGTCTCATCGGCACACCCGACCTGTATGAGTAACAATAGCTTTTGAAAGGCGCCGACTTGAAGAGCTTCAATCAAAACCCTTTCTTCCTCTTTGCTCAGCTTCCAAATCGTTGAAACAGAGTACTCGGTCGCTAATTCTGAAACACGCAAGATTTTCTTCACCAGAACTGGCATGGCCAGAGCGTTATTGTAAGCAACTTCCCTCCCTTGTTTGGAATCACAGAGTTTGTCAAGGACACCTAAAGCCCTCTCACATAGGCTTCTTTCAGATTCGACAATAGTCTCCAGCAGTAAAGAAACCAGACCCATGTCAAGAAATTCTGACTTGATCTTCTCACTTGAAGAACAATATGAAACCATGTGGAAAATAACCATGAGAGAAGCTTTTGTGATTGAAGGAGATATTGGGTCTTTAATGAATTTAAATAGCATTTCATTGACCCCATCGATAGCCGCCAACCCTTCTCCATATTGCTGGTCGCAAGAAAGAAGCTCTTTCAGCGCAGTCATGGAGTTTTGCTTCACTGAAAGGTCCCTGCATTTCAGAAACCAAACCATGCAACGCAAAGAAGCTTGTGAGCCCAGGTGTTCCAGAGCTTCCCCATCGAGCGGGAACATCCAGTTCAGTACACATAGTATCTCCTCCAACACATTGGCATTCCTCTCAAAAGAGTCACTTGCAAAAGCGTCAAATGCGGCAGCGAGGACTCCAGCTGTCTCGTTTGCTGTAATGCACCGCCTATTTCGCTCACTTTCCATGCACCATTTCTTGATTTTCTGCACAGAATCTAGGCAGCCACATTGATCCAGGCGTCTACTGGAATCCATAATCGCAAAAAGGATTTCGGAGACCTCTTCTGAGGTGACAGGAATTCTTGGTGTAGGGATCCTTTCAACGCCATATTTCCCATTCTCTACACACCAATCTTGAATCATTTTCCTGAGAGAGTGATTAGGTATCTGATCAAAACTTCTGAGAAGCTGGTTTGTAACAGGGCAGGTGAAATTCCCATCCTCGAGCCACGTCTCGATGCTTTCTCGATCGTAAGTAATCCCAGAAGACAATGTGACAGGATCCTTCATAAGGTCAAGAGTTATCGGGCACAGAAAATGCCTTGGGATCTCAAGCTCCTTATGCTGCTGCTGCTGCTGCTGCCGCCTTTTCTCGCCATGACGGCCTGTGGTCTTTCTTCTCCTCCAATTGAACATTGCCAAAGATTTTGAGAACCGATATCAGAAAATATCAGAGAAAGACTTGTAAATGGTAGCTTTGTGAATGGTAATGTGAGTTCTTGATGTTCTTATATATATAATAATAACAACAACAAGAGGGTTGAATGGAAAGATGGGGCTGAATTTCAAGCTCTTCACACACGGTTGTTCAAAGTCTAGGACTTTGCAGGGAAGAAGAAAGAACCTGACGAGAAGCGTTCAAATTGGATTAGTAGTAGAACCAAAAGAGGAAACGTTATGGCGTTTTAGGCAATGCGAATATTGAATTTTGACCATTGAAAATTTGAAGGACTGGAACTGTCAAATGTGGAAATGGTAAAAAGAATGGGCTTCAGCTTCAAATCTTAACAAGTAAACAACACCCGGTTTGAATATGATTCTGGGTTTGCGCTGTTGACGGGTTGACTCAGATTTCGTGGTCTTTAATCTTAATTACTAGTTCCGTAATGCTTGCAGAGTTTTTTTTCTTTTCTTGACAAAGGTTACCGTAAGGCCGACCTTAATGGGTTAAATAATAAACAACCCTTTTAACAGGCTAGCAAGTGTGTAATGTATAATCGTACTTATTTTGTATTATGTGCGTGTTTAGTTTGGTCAACTTACATACCTTTAAAAAAAAAAAGTTTTTTTTTCAAAGGGCCAAATTAAAAAAAAACTTTACAAAAAATTTTTTTATTTTAAAGACACGTCAAACTTTTCAAAAAATACACGCCCTCATTCTCTCTCTCAATCGATATTTCCTTCTCTTTTCTCTTTCTTTGCAAATCACTATTAATTTTAAATTAAACTCATTACATCGAAATTAATGTTATATGAGATTAAATGTCATCTATTAGAATTTTAATTTAAAAATATTATTTGATTTAACATTAACATTTTTTATTTTTTATGTCATAATGTTTAAAGCGAATTTGGGAATTAGAGAGGATACAAATTAGTTTTAATTAACTTTATGTAAAAAATAAAATTCTGATTAGTGTATAATTTGTGTTATATGAATGCTTTACATTCATTCTTATAAATTTACCACGTTCCAGAGAGGAGAATTTGCTATCCTTGTTTCCAAACATGCTTTCTTTTGCGGGTTTTCCTAGAATTGATGGCATAAATGCCAACGCCTCCATCAATTGAAGACGCTGCACTGATGAAATCCGTCAAACAGATCAACTGCTGCTCGTCCTTTTTCCAATTCCTTCATCGGTAAATCAACTCAGTCATGTAAATATTGTTTCCTCCACTTGTAGGATTTCAGCTCATTCATTGTTTATTTCCGAAACTAAACGCTGCAGTTTTAAGGCATTGGAGGAAGGACCGCTTTAGGACTGATGTTCCGATATTTTTCCAAAAAAAAAAAAAGAAATGAATTTAATAATCGGTTTAGGGGTTAACAAGTTTCATGTATCAATGTTTGATATTTATACACGTTAGGACATGAATTATAATATAAGGATACATTTGGTTCACGAAATATATAATTTGATTAATGAAATGAACTAAAATAATGTTATTATATAGTTTGATTGATGAAATGAAACTGATATTATAATTTATTATAATATTTCATGGGTAAAAATATATTTAGATTAATAAAAAAATAAATAATAAAAAATAAAAATATCTTTTATGATAATATATGATTATAAACTTTTATTTGTTTTATTTTTAAAATATTAATAACTTATAATTTATTTAAAATATTAATAATTGAAATTTTAAATATTAATAATTTAATCATTAATATTTTAAAATAGTAATATTTTATTTATAATTTAAATATTATTATAATTAAAATATTAATAATTTAAATTTAATATTATTTTTAAATTTAAAAAATTAAAATTTTTATTATAATATATGATTATCTATTTTTATTTTATTTTATGTTTTAAATATTAATAATTTATAATTTATTTAAAATATTAATAATTGATCATTTAAATATTATCATTTTATTTATAATTTAAATTTTATTATGATGAAAATATTAATTATTAATTTTTTTAAAATTTAAAATATTATTTTTATAATATATAATTAAAAACTTAAACTTTTAATTATAAATTTTTTTTTATTTTTGCTTATAAGAGACAATTTTGTTTTATTAATTTTAGAAGCTATTGTCATGGGTCGGAACTTAAGCCAAACTCTGTGTGGTCTTAAGACCTCAAAATAAAGCTTATGTTAACTCATAAATCACGAGTCTAGTTTCTCAACCCAAAAGATATTCTTGATATATGGCGGAAGGCTTATATCTATATTCTTAAGACTCACCTCATTTCTTACTAATATGGAATTCGTAACATTTTATTGCATTTAATTATGCAACGCCTTCAATGCATTGAGTCTTTACCCATAGAGAAGAGAGACTCCTATATTAATTCAAGTCTATTTCGACTTTTGTGTTTTTCATAGGAGTCTCACATCAATGAAAATTCGAATATGCTCTAATACCATTTGTCACGGGTTAAAACTTAAGCCTAACCTTGTGTTAGTATGAATCTACTTCAAACAAAAGTCTCACATCAGTGAAGATTTGGATTTGTTCTAATATTACTTGTCATGTGTTGAAACTTAAGTTCAACCTTGTGTGATCTTAAGCTCTGAAAATAAAGCTTAAGTCAGCCCAAAAATCATGGGTCTATATTCCTTACCCAAAAGACATGCTTGATAAAATAATGAAAGACTCATATTTATATTTTCAAAATCTATCTCATTTCTTACTGATGTGGAATCCATGATATCATTTCTCAACCATGAAATAGCAAATAAGATAGGGGATTAGAATTAGCTAATATTTGATTTTAGGTAATTTAGGAGAATAGAGATTGTAGGAAAATGGCTATTTCTTGAGTCATTTGACAATTAGAACAAAAAACAAATATTCCGTGACAACAACCAACCAAACATGTTGTAATTGGTATAAATATATGTGTAAATATCAATTATATTATAATACGAGATATTAGATTAAAACAGACAACTTAAATAGGCCAAACAACATAATAGAACATACACAAAAATGTAATTTAATATGAACTCTTATAATTGATTTTATATATATATATATATTTAGATTTGAATGTAAATTAAATTGGGTTAAAATTAAAATTTATCCAAATTAAATCTCTTAATATTATTTTTATTTTATAAATTCTATCTAAATAAAGAATTATTAACTTATAAATAAATATCTTATTTCATTTCTAAATAGACATTTTCAAATAAAATTTCTTATTTTATTAATATATTAAAACTTCCATAAAAACTTCAAAACCTCAAAAACATTATAACGTCATTTTATCGGGTGTTGTTTAACATGATGACATCATTTTCTGGGTGTTGTTTCTATGGTCTCCCTCCCCCTCTCTACGCTGCCACATATGTCAATTCTTATTTCCGTGTCATTTGTCATTGCTGTTTAACCTCTCTGGCTTTGTCCTCTTTCTTTGCAAACTGTCTCTGACACTCATCAAATAACTCAACATACATTTCCATGACCATCTTCCGCACATTCACAGTCAACCCGTGAAACCATCTGACTTTGAATATTTCTCTCCAAAGCCTCAGACAATTCTGGGCAATTAAACTCACAATGTGCTCATCATTCCACAGCAACGGGGCCCTTTCTGCAACCTGCAATACATAATGGTCTTTGAAGGATTTATGAAAACACTGTGAAGCAACTTTTTAGCCAAACCCCAAGTTGATGTCATAATTTCAGAAAACCTGGAAAGCTATAGAACAACTAATCATGCATATGTATTTCATTCATCTGCCTGCCAGTGCCACACTAATAGCCAATATATATCAAAATCAATTAAATATAAAGCCTACTTTTTAATAAGATTTAGACACTTGGTTCATCATGTTTCTGTCCATAAACTCTAAAGCTAACTGATATAGATACTTGTTTATCATATATTTCAAGATTTAGATGCCTTTTTAACGAAATTCTGTCAGTAATTTCTCAGCAAGTATAGCTTCTATACACTGATTGAATGAAGAAATAAAATCGACTACCTACTATGTCCTGCTAGCCCAACCATGAAGGTAGAGAAACAGAAACAAGTTTCCTTTCCCATAAATAATGACCCGAGACAGTAACATCGTTTTCAATAGCAGTAGAAACTGTAAAAGTATACAAAAATAAATCAACAAATTTCTGGAGCACGTCCTCCCTAAATCACCACAAACAGCCGGGGATGGCAGGTTTCCATTGGAACACAGAATGAACATCATATATAACAACAACTAAATGTGCACTTTCTCTTGCTAAAACCGTGTCTATCCCATGCCAAGTCAACAAGCCAACTCCAGACCCCGTCTGCCTCTCCCTGTAATCTGATGGAATGAGTTTTCCAGGCATGCAACTGGGTTGTAACAGCTGTGCTTAATAAAAGATTTTTATTTACATTTGATCGCATCCTAATGCAGATTCATTAATAGGCTAGCTTTATTCCATGTCGAACAAATAACTATACAGATGTACAAATTATTTCCAAAATCACAGAAATATGCATGCTTGTGCATGTGGAGAGAGAAATTGTTATCAATACTTGACACTTTGACACCCAACCATCACCACGATGTTTGATCTGTAACACCACCAAGCTAACATCACAATATCAGATCCCCCCTAGCCAAGTTAATCATAGTAGCACAATTTGCATCAAGTTGACAAATTGAACCCTTAAATCTTTCTCAGTTCAAACTGTTGGTTTTGTCAAAGATTAGGATTATTCCTGCCTGATATAGGGAGATGAACTCATTTCTGTACTGTAAAATGAATCATCCCCATTGATTCCATAGACATTATCATCCTTCTCTTCATCCCATTTCAGCACCTCCCTTATATATTTGAACGCCTCATCAATTGACGCACGTTCTCGGGCTTTAGTCTGCGAAACAAACAATTTTCTGCCACTTATAGAAAAATATAGCTCCTTGAATTTCACAGCCATGTAATAGTATGCTTGTTGTGCCAGGGCATGGTTATTATGATGAGGCTTTAAGGGGCTAAAATCCCTGAACCACTCACAGGTGGACAAAGGAACCCGATTTATCTTATCTTCAAAGGCGTCATATTTGTTCAGCAAAAGCACAAAAGGGGTGTCCCTAAACGAAGGGTGCCTCACCAGACTCTCAAACATATCTCTGCTTGCCA